TAAGATCCTGACGACACCTAACAACTTATTCATAGCGCGACTCAGCCTTGGTTGCCATTAGTGAATGTATTGGTATTAATGCGTGTCCACCGCACATATTCGTGTTTATTAATGAAAAAAATCGTCGTGCCAAGTTTATCAGGTTCTCGCCAAAGCCACTTTTCCTATCATAATAAACAAATGCTGATACCTCAGGCGAATCAACCAACTAAGAAGGAACACTCGTAAGCAGAAACGAGAAGTGCAAGAGAATGAGAGAATCTTTGAGATAGACGTGTCGACGGTGTGAGGTCCTGCTGAGTATTGGGACTATGGATGCGTCCAAGACCAGCCCCTGCGCGTATTTATAGCAAAGCATTACGTAGTACAGCTAACACATCTGCAATGGCGCGGCTAGCAGAAAGACCGACTGGGCCTCGGATCCTGGGCACTCCTTACCCTGTTGACGGCTGGCCATGATGTTTGGCGAAATGTCGGCCGCGTCATAATGCAAAGGTAGGTTGCCCAATCATTCGCTTGTAAAATGGCCAAGCGCAAGCACCGCGCTTACCTATGGCAGCCTCAAGTTTGGCTCTCGGCATCTTAAGTTAGCAAATACCGGTAACAAGCAGGCTGGGTCTGAACCGGTTAGGGTCGTTGTCTGAGCCCAATTTCGAACACTGCCATTAACAAAAGGGGTGTACACACACGAAAGTCGAGAGAACGCGGAATAGGCAAAGAGAGTGTCCGTGGACGAAAAAGAAAGGCAAGGGCAGCTTGGAGAGCTGCAGGAGCAGCAGCAGCTTCAGTAGGAACTGCAAATCGTAGGGCAAACCAGAAAAGAGTGCAGCGAGTGTACGGTAGGTAAGTTGCTCAGTCGGGAACGGTCAGAAAACGCTGGCATTTATTTGACTCGCCAACCATTGCCCCGGGACTGCCTAAGTCGTAACAGATGATATAGCGAGGGGGCTGCTGTGTTAGTTCGCCTTTCTCTGCTACTTAAAAAAAAAGCCAGAAGTTGGGCCACCATTAAGTTGGTCGGTTCGCTGTGCTCCACTCTTGCAGTGGATATTTATAGGCGAAACTGATTGGATACGCACACGAAAAGTCGCGATTTAACTGAATCCTTATATGTTAGGTCGACTGGACTTTTCCCTTGAAGCTAGTGCGATTTTGGACCCTGCAGAAATATCAGTGTTGGGGGGGGGGGGGTATAGGGAAACCGAGTAGAATCTGGGAAATATGGGAAACGTGCACTAAACTGGAACTAAGCGGTGAAGGAAATGCGTCGCAAAATTAAAAAGAAATTAATCGGCTAAAATTAAGTGCCAGTGAGAGCACAAAACGTCGCTGGCGGCTGCTTCCCGAATTTGTGACCTTGTGTTGAACTTACACGGGGGCCTTACGCTAATGCTATCTATGGCAGGCAGAGCAGGGTCGAACAAACGGAAATCTAACAGCTTCCGTTTGGAAGGTCCAACAAGCGGAAAAAAATCATCGGCCTCTTGCTCGGTCGCTGTAGATACTGCAGCAGTTATTCCAGGTCGACGTAGAATAGTTGTTGTTTCTGTTGTGAAAGCGAAACGAAAGAGTTGTCCAAGGTGAACTTACACAGTTGAAGGCATTTATGCTACGTGGTTAAAATGGGTAACCTAATGGCGCCAGCGGTCGTTTGAAATTTTTGCTGATGGAAAACTTGATGCTTTACCCCCCTCTCCCCGGAAATAGCTGTGTTAATGGCAATCATGATGCGGAATACCGTAATACATAATATGGTTTTTTGTTGTCGGAACTAATCAGCAAGACTGCATATTATATATTTATGGGGAAGATCTATTGAAGCATGGCTATATTATATATTATTAGCGTAGTTAAATATGATATTCATTTTTTCAATACGCTTTGTATATTTACTAATAGAGACATTACTTCATTCAGAAGTGTAAGGCCGGCCCTGTGATAGAGCTCGAGAATGTTCAAAGAGGATCACCTTCAAACACAAAGACAACTTACCTCAATAGCATCATAACTGCGCTTCCATTATTTCGATAAATCATTATTTATTGAAGTGCTTCCAAGCACTCATATTATTAGTTACATCTTTAATATGTGCTATTTAACCCGCTGCCATTACAAGCTCAGGCAAAGAAGCTCAGGTCAACGTTCGTAAAACGTTTTTGGCTAGCCTCAACTGTATCATCTCTGCCACATATTTAAAAACCAACGTCAAGATCCAAATTCAGCTGTGCTCATACAACGATAGCACTGGCTGTATTTACGGATGCCAACGTGAGCGGCGATGTCATAAACCCATTCGATTGGCTTCTACTTACAAAAATTACAACGAACGATAGTAATCGCAGGATTACAGGGGAAAACAAATGAGAACTTGTTTTTACTTGCTCTTCATCCGTTTGACCATTTATAATGCGAATTAGAATTGTGAAATTAGAAGTAGAGCTACAGTCACTTCTCACATCCTTACCCTTGGACTACATCCACACCTTCTCGTACTGTGCTACTTACTTTTCAAACCCTAAACATAAAGGCTAAGAAAGGAAAAGCCAGAGGCCCTCGGTAATTATAGCGTTTGAGTAGAAGCATTCCGTCCTATGGCGCGTCGACGTCTTTCCCGGGGCTAGATCCGCAAGAACATGGGAGCAGGATGCTTCGTACGAAGCGAGGGCAACTACCGGGTAACATCCTCAGCAGCCATCGCTATAAAGATGGACAGGAAAACGGGCAGTTGGTGGAGGCAGGGATGATGAGAGGTGTCGGAACGTAGCATTCTGATTCCACATTGTTCATCCCTCACTATTTCGATTCTCCTTTCGATCTGATTCTACCGCCTTGTTCAGCTTTTTTGCGGTATCCCCCCTCCCCGAAAGTCGTGTCTGATATGATCATTTACCCTCTTTCGCCTGCAGTGCGGCTGCACTTTTGGGATGCATCGACATCTGCCGCATTACGCTGGGTATCGGCCCGACGTCGGGTTTCCCCAAGCTCGGCGTGCATGATTTATTAACAGATGCCTCTTGATCCTCCAACAAGTTGTCTCGAAGGGGTGATGTCGTTGACGTCAAATGAGCTACTGAGGCTTGCCGTCTAGTTCACATTTGTTCTCTTCGCTATTGCCGTTTCGTCAGGTACTTGCCGACTTAGAAGGTCGTCACCAGCACCACAGTAACTTGTCTCGCCTAATCGCATCAAGAGTAAATCTTTGCTCTTATGCCATGTTGCCCAGCCTCTTCGTGGTTCCCTTCAGTCACAGCGCGCGTCAGCGAATCGTCACCCGATTCTCCACAAATCTGCTGATTCGAAATCACCACACCGCAATACTCCTTGCTAATACCGGTTCTAACGCTGGCGACAGTTGCCAACGGATCGAGTGCTGCGTCTTCTCGTGTTCTATCATGTGTATTGCAGCGTTAGAGGTCTACGTGGCTTGTAACTCTATTCAGCTGGAGCCAAGTAGCGTCAATCGTGTCCAGGGCACCTAATGCAAATCACACGAATCTCCCCGGAATACTCTGGTTAGCGGCAGCGGTTCGTAGACATATGATGAATTGCGTGCGACGTCGTTACGAGTGCAGTACGCTTTGGCACTATAAACCGTTCCATTACAGATTACGCGACCTTCTGACCCATCATGGAAATTTTACGCTTAAGGTAAAATAAAATTTAGTAATTGATACACGAAAGAACAAGAGCCAACAGGAGGACATCTCATATTTGCTTGCTGTCAATGCAAGATGTATGAACACTGGTCTTAAGAGGAACTTCTTTAGATTGTAGCGAGTTCACTAAAGACATTGGAGCATTCTACACATCAGTCGCAGAAACAAATTATATGTATTTAAAATGCGGCTAAGAAAAAAGCAAAATGCCGCTTTATGGACCCAGCTTATCCAATCACTTACTTTCATTATTTAACTCTCTAGATTATTTTCACATATTGCTTTCTGATAGAACGGTATGGCGCCACCACCTCGTAAATCGACTGAAGTGGGCGAAATCTGTGTTATTTTTAGTAACCTATTGTCGCCCACCAAATTCAACTTTTATTTTTATCTGTTTTATAGCTCGCTTAGTCATTCCGAGCTATAGACTCTTGCTGTATAATCTTATACGCTGGTTAGGTAGGCCTGGTCATCGTATCGTAGGTACAGTCGCCAGGTTGCCATTACGTGGATCACTAAGTCAACACTTTGTTACACACTATGCCTCGTCCGCCGTTATCGACATTATCTTCGATGTCATTACGTTGAAGATAAAGGGTTATCTCATCTTTCAGCCCAGCTTAGCCCATTGTATGTTAATTCCACATCGCCTCGAACGTTGTTTGCTGTTGTTGATGAGGTAAAGTGTATCGGCGTACGCTGCTGCGCGTCTCTCGTTCTGATCACGTCGTGTTAGACAGCCAGGCAAGAGTTCTCCAAAAGCACCGAAATGAGATCATAATGTCTAAAATTGGCCCTGGAAATGAAGTCGTGATCTATATTATATAAAGGTATTGATGTTTCAATTAAATGAACGACGCCAACGGCAAGAAGCGGTGTACCTCGCGAACATATCGGCATATATAGTATGAACAGCTTCCTTTCAAGGCGATTGTTGATCACTTCACTTAGCATAGGTAAAACGTTCGGTAGTTATAGGCATCGCCAAAATACTAATTTTATCAAAAAAATTATTCGTGCGTTTAAGATCTACTATAAAATCACATAAATTACAATAATATTAATAAAGATTTTCTAGTTTTTTGTTGTCTCACTGGTAATCATTTGATTGTATAATGCACTACATCGAAAAGTACTGCTAATAAGATTATAATTGTTATTATTTCGCGGAAGGCTCGTTATTTGATCCTTCACAATAAACATTCGATTAGAAAATAGAGTACCTTCCTTTTTCCTTGTTCGGCCAAAAATTTGTTGAACAAATACGTTTTAGTTAGTTTTTATACTGTACATATATTAAGAATATACACTGTTATTTCTTTGCTCCTGCTATTATTGCAGGTAACTTGCTAATCATCGCCGCGGTGCTGGCGTCCAACAAGCTGCGGACTGTGACGAATTACTTCGTCATCTCGCTGGCGGTCGCCGACCTGCTCGTGGGGCTCACCGTGATGCCCTACTCCATCACGCTAGAGGTCAGTCTACAGAACGTTGTTAGAATCAAAAGCTAGCAAGGAACCAAGCAACATCGTGTTACACACTGTCTGCATATATCGTTCTCAAACATGATAACAGTATAATGAAATGATGGAAAAGTGATTTTCAAATTTTCGCGGCCATTTCTGTGTATTTAATATTTTTTCCACCTAAAGACAGTCTGGTCTTAAGGTTATTCATGAAAACTTCTGTTCGGTTTTCTCTTTATACCTAATTACCTTCTATCACATCTAGTATAATAAAGATATGCTGCTTGCTAGGTGAGTTTCAACAGCAAGACAACGAGTTGGTACACTGTTACCGTAATGAAACATTCAATTTTATTGTTCAAAACGTTACAGGTATTTCAGGCGTGGCCATTTGGCAGCCACTTCTGCAAGATCTGGCTTGCGGTCGACGTGTGGCTGTGCACTTCGTCAATCCTCAATTTGTGCGCCATCTCCGTCGATCGCTACCTCGCTATAACGCGCCCTATTAGGTATAGGTGAGTTAATACGTGACCACCCAAATCTTCATTCTCGATAGGTGATTGAAGGTCTTCAGAATGAAGCGCGGATTATATGCATCGCTCTTGGGCGTGTGATACGTACTCTAATATTCTATGGGTCATGTTAGTGTCAATATGCCGCTGATAAATGGAGTCGAATAACGGATATACTTCTCAATTTGTTTCACTTGAATCCCTTAAGCAATGAATGTCTTTGAGTTCAATTTCAAGTTTGCGTGACTAGCGCGGCTTCAGCCCCGTTGCCTTCGTCATTCGTATTCAATTCCTCACATAAGTCCTCACTGTGGGGGATACTTTGTCAGTCAAAAGAAAATTCAAAATTTTACTGCCCTGACATCCAGATTCAAATGGGTGACCTACTAAAACAGGCCAGTAATGCCATCTTCGCTACCGCCTAAGGTATCATAATTTAGGTTCACCATACCGACACTACAACATGATACGGCAGCCACGGAAAACCTATGTCATCGATAAATTGCAAGCAAAGACGCGAAACGCCTAACTTCCTACTGTGCCTCAAAACTGACTGTCGATACGCACCTTCTTTTCTCTCACTGAATGCTCGAATAATTTTAATTTTTGGCATATTTTCAACTGTTTCTAAACATAATCCATTGATCCTTGTGACGCCATTAGAAAATATTACGTCTTCAGTATGGGTTGAGCTGGTTCACTGTTATCGTGGTAAGGATAGAACATGGATGTACCTAGACACTGCGCCCGTGACTTGTTTCAATCAAGTTTAATTTATTCCGATCATTTTTTAGCCATACAAGGGCCGCCTTCACTAAATAAACTCGATGACAATTACCACCGAAATAAACGCCTACTAACAAAAATTGCATTAATATGGTTGCTTTTATCAACCCACAATATATCACGTACGACGAAACAGCATTGCGTCACAGAGGCTACGACTATGAATATGTTATTAGTCAATACCTACTTGCCTGGCTATACTGCCCAGGTTTACGAATCGAAAAATAAATTAAGAGGGTACGTTGATAGTTCGCGTCCAAACCCGGTGGGTAGCAACCATTAACAGTTTGCATCCTCTGCATGACCAATTACATTTAACGCTTTAGCCCATAAATAGTTTAACGCATGAAGTGTGACTACATCTCTCATAACGTATGTATCCCTGCGCCGCCGAGAGGCCGATCATCTTCCACAAGGCGAAGAGCGCGCTACATGGCCAATCGGAAATCGTTCGTCATACGCTCACGTAAAAATGTGATAAAAACACCAAAAACTCAACAAAATCGAGCTGGAGATAGCGATAAATCCTCTAAAAATAACATAAATAAAAAATAGCCGTGAAATTACCGCCCGAAAGAACACGGACTCTATAGCCGTTAGTGCGTGGAGTATTTGCTTAGGGAACATAGCGCGTTATACGAGTCATCCTTTCAATTAGGCCAAACAATTGATAAATAAAATGTTGGAAAACCAGAAAAATTATTGTGAAGGCAATTTATAGTGTCACCGATAAAAATCAGCTAATTCTGATCAAGGAACTAGATGTTTTCGTTAGCATGTACTTTCAGTCGTCGACTCACTATCTAGCTAAGTGTAAGATCTAAGAACAAATATGTCTTAGTTAAGCGTTGCTTCAAACAACAAGCCTTAAGCACGAAACGAAGTCTGCCTGCGTCCAGCTCCAGATGTACAGTTCTGCATTCGATACTTCGCGCAACAATCTAATTTCAACTGCGAAGATTAGTTATATAGCTTGTAAGTTTTTATGACGCACATATATGCTCGCTATGAGGTGAGCCTCCTGAAGTACCCTCGATGAAATTCTCGCTGCTCGAACACTGACATGAAATGAACATTAATGACAACTCATGCATGGATGCTGCTGGCTTAGTGTATTGAAACCAAAAATTAGAAATATCAGAGTACAGTTGAAAGGATCCGGCCATGGTGTAAGCCTCTGGCGGATCGCTAGTTCTGATTTTACGTAGCTTCACTGTGCAGGCTCAGAAGCGATTGTCCGTCGATGTCATCACTTCTCGTATCGTTGCCGGTTTGTCGGCGATTTTCGTCAACTTCTGTGCGATACTTATGTCTCCGCCTATACTTTCTAGCGTAACAAGCGTCAATTAAGTACGTTCCACTGGTACTTCATATTTCCACCTTGGCAGCCCATAACGCTATCAGAATTAGGTTTTTTAACGACAATGATAACAGTAATAATAATAACTGTCCTTATTTATATTATCCTTTAACAATAGCCTGCACGTTAGATCGAATACTTAGCGTTTTACTCACACGGTTGTCGATCGTTGAGGATACTGTGAACACTTAATGGCAATGTCTACTTGGACACGTCATTTAATTAGTGGGCGGGCAAATTACCAAGATTAAGACGCCTGAGTAGCTTTATACGTTGTATGCCTCTTATGGATTTACTATCAAGGAAAAAACAACTCTGACCACGATGACGGTGTAATATCGCATTTCAATCTGCATTGCAGACTTAGAACCTTGATGTGTCAACATTTATGTAGAAATTAATATAGTTTTATAAATAGCTAGATAGAGATATATGCCCGTCTCCAAGAGACAGAATACTTGACAAATGAGGATAAGTATACGAAATTGTAACACTAACAGTAGCTAAATTCTATGTGATAGTATGCTACGGTACAAAATTATTTGGAAAAACATTTTTCACATACAAAAGTTTTCTCTTCCACCAACAAAACACGCCTGAAAAGATCTCTCACATATACCGGTCCTTATTTTTGCTCAGGCATACGTAATGCAACGGACTACGATAATCAGAATACGCTAATGATCACAAATACTACGGTCCGTCTTCCTTATGTGGCCAACAATACAAAGACTTATTTCGGCAGATTATTACCATTGAACGTAGCTGGCTGGCTGCCTTCCTTCATCATATAGGTCCATTCGCGCTTCGTTTTGTGCTTTGATGCTATGCTTCGTCTACGTATTCGTACACATCTACGCATACGAAAAGGACTGTATTATGCGCTGCAACAAACATTCTGGGGGGCCTAGTTGTTGTATTTCGCATTCTACTGCTTGTTATCAGTCAGTCGTCCGCGATAGTTTTTACGATTGCCTCCAAAGACGCGGGCTACAAGGAGCCCTCGTGGCAAAAGAAGGCCACAAGAAAGCAACTAAGCAGTAGAAAGAGATAAGGATGTCGAGAAACGTGAGGGAACAGAGGAGCCGTGTTTCCCAAAGTTTCTTTGCAGCTCAGAAGGTCGAGGAACAGGCGGAGCATAACCGGCAGCGCATCATGAAGAGTGCAATCAACTGCGTCGCCCCCCATCGAGACTTTTCCCCCGGCCTATTTTCTTCGCGCCTACCGTCTTCTTTTCTATCGCCCATGAAGAACTGCACCAATGTTTCCGTGTTCCGCTCACTTGGTTGACTGAAGTGTTTTTTTTTCTTGTTCCCTCCGCTTCAAGTCGACGAGCAGAAGTCAGAGTCAAATCGCCCATTACCGAACAGTAGCTACTGATGAGTTGATGTGGTCTGAATTCTGTGCATGCGCCAGCTTGCGGGTCATGCTGAATGTATTTTTTGTGTGTGTTTGATTCTATGGGTCGATGGTGTCTGTTTATGTGTTGATGTCCGAGTAATAGTAGTGGGTGCTAGTAATGGCCAAAAGCCAACAATCAGCAGCCAACGAAGGTTCTTCGTGGAGCTTACTGGACTTAATAAACATCAGCGTCGAGGACGAAGCCGAGTTCATTCGGAAAAGCCGCGCTCCAAATAGCTCTCGCTACCACTTTCACCCAAGCTGTAGAAGAGACGATCGATCAAAAGATCGATTGACTTTTTGGATGTTTTTGCTGTTGGTGCCCTCATAGACAGGAGCACTTCCTAAATGTCGCGCTCACACTCGTCATTGTCGTGGTATGATCAGCCTCTTACGAGTTTTAATCAGAGCCGCGCTTAACAGCTGATCGAACAAAGACAGCTGACGTTGATGCCAAAAATTAATAATTGCTTCTACTGGCCTTACGGCTGTGACGATTTATGGCCACTCTAGCATCCTAACACCGCATTGAACGGTAGGACAGGATGGTCAGTCACGCGTGTAGCTGGCCAAACACCTTCGATTTAACGGCCCGCAAATCCGAGATATGAATTAAGAGGTACGACTGTTAAAGGCTGTAGAACAGCCGAAGCAGGAAATGGGCGCCTCTCAGAAAAGTCAGCACCAATATCTGTCGGCTGCTTGCAGCCACTACAACAACCCACTTCCTATCTAACCGAGGAAGTAAGAAGAAAGGAAAAAAAGAAAAAATAACTTCAGGGAATTCAGCGGTGCATAAGGATCTAGTGGGGGCTCAGTAAAAATTGTATTGTCAAGAATAGCAGGAGTAGTAGAAGCAAGATCGTCGTAACTGATCTCTGAGTGATGCCAGCAATGACAATGACGAAACGACAAAGCCGTTCGGGCGGTTAATGTTTGCTTACTTGTCTACTCTTCCACTTGATCATACATCAGGCCTTTGCGATGCTCTCCTTGTCTTTGTTGGTGCTCCATTGGGGTCGGGACACTCTACTAAGCGAATGGTTAGTAAATGTAGCCGCGATGCTACCGCCGTCACTGACTTCGAACTAAGGTTCAGCAAGCGAAGATCGAGCGAATGAGTTCTGTTGTAAAATTTCTGATCCGTGCTTCGATGCTACCGTCAACGTCGGTCTGATGTGAACGGTAGTTCTGCACACGACAAATAACCAATACGGTGTTTATATTTGGGTCTCAATAGCTTGATAATTTGTTTCCATCAATCTCCTATTCCACCCTTCTCGCTTGTAGTAAAACCTGGTCCATTTAAGTAAGCTAGAAAAATGTTACTAGATAATTAAATTCAATTTCCCATAGATAGTGCTGAAAGGGAAAGTTTACTTTTGCAATTGAAACTAATATTACTCACTATCATATGAATCTATTAGATTGTTTTTAGCATTTTGGTTCTGATGGTTAGCCTTGATGATTTTAGTATACTTTACTTTATATCTTGTGCCTATGACATTCGGCCAAGTCGTTATACTCGACCTAAATGGAAACAGAATACATGATCCAAAATACACATACACTAATTCCATCGTAATCGTGAGCGGGTTCGGCAAAACGATGAGGTGAACCCATATCTATATATTATACAGTGGGCCCAAATTAACCGGTTCCACCTATACTTGTATACCTAGTAAAGTACTGGGAAACTTAACCTGCAATTGAGCATCTGGGCTCGGTTTGCATAATCTGTACAATACCTTGAATGTGACACATATGTGCACATATAGTTACGTATCATACACACATACGTATTATCAAAGTTACTAAGTAGACAAACTAAATTTAGTTTATGTCCACTTAATAGCGAGATCCGCATTGCCATCGATGTCCTTGCAGCACTGTCATGCTCGCTGTTAATGCGATATTCCTGCTTTTTTGTCATGCGGTCACTTTGTCGACTTTCAGGTCGCTGATGTCATCGAAGAGAGCCCATTTGTTGATCGTCTTAGTGTGGGTGACTGCCTTCCTCATCTGCTTCCCGCCCCTTGTTGGTTGGAACGACCTCGATGACACTTCAGCTGGAGCTATCGTCGACGGTAAAAAGTCAACGACTACGATACCTTCGGGCTCACCAGCCGGAGGCGAAGAATCCGACGGGGACTCGTTGAGTGGCGATTTCGCCACGCAAGGGGTGCTCCTAAACGAGACCGGTGCCATCGACCATTGCAAGTACCCGGGCTGTAAACTCGTCAACAACTTCGGCTATGTCGTATATTCCGCCATGGGATCGTTCTATATTCCTATGTTTTTTATGCTATTCTTCAACTATCGAATATACGTGTCGGCGATTCGGACTGGTCAAGCACTTGAGCGCGGCTTTATTATGGCCAAGAACAAAGGTGGAGCATCCAGTTCTAATCAGATGCAACAAATGACCCTGCGTGTTCACCGAGGCAACGCTAAGTCGTCCATCGCCACCAATCAGGCCTCGGTTTCAGAGACCTGTATAGTCGATGGCATTGTAACTGGGCGTAGACGGCAAGGAGCAAAGAATTCGCTAGTTCCAGAAACCAGGTCGGCGCCACCTTCGTTTAAGGGTAAAAAGACAAATCTGAGAGCGTTTTTGTGAGTCTGTGTAGAAGATGATGTGTGACGTGAGAAAAATTATTTAAAAATAATTTTTTTACACTACCCCAAGGGTACTACAGAGCAAACCAACTACACGTTTGTTTCGTAACTAAAAACGACCGCTAAGAGATATTTCTACGATTCTCAAAATCCAAGTTTCTTTTTGGCTCCGCCTTACTTTAGTAAGTTATTTTACGGAAAAAGTACAAACGTTTTAGCTTAAAGCTTCCGGTTTTGAAGTTTCGGCACAATCTTCTATAGCAAAGGCGCATCGTTTTCTCTAACTTTTGTTTCACAACTCCTAAAAAAACTGAAAAATCACAAATTTCATTGCCATACGCTTTGTGTCCAGGGAACGCCGACCTTAAGGGTAGCGGCAGCAAAAGAAGGAGCAGTTCGGCGAAGACGAATGGTCAACAGCCTACTGAGAAAGAAAATAGCCACCAAAGGAAAACAAGTTCGTCGAACAAGAAGAGCCTGCGCTGGCAGGCCAGGAGGTTTCGTACTGAAGCCAAGGCCACTAAGACAGTGGGCAGCATCGTAGGGGCCTTTATCTGTTGCTGGCTGCCTTTCTTCACTGTATACCTTGTTAAAGCCTTCTGTGAAACTTGTATACATGACATTGTCTTCGGTAAGTTAAGGAGCAGTAATTGCATGTTAGACCGCTAACAAACAAGCGGCGAGCAAAGCTTGATTGTGTGTCCGTGCATGTATTTATGTGCGTGCGTGCGTTTGGGAACGCGTGTGTTTGCGCGGGCGGGCTTGTATGTGATGCGCAGAAGCATGTGTGCTTCAGTAGCTCTTGTTCTTTTGAAAGGGCCATCTTCCCGCAACATTTGCTAATTTACATGTCGCAAGCAACCAAACGCAAATGTCCTGCTGCATGCGTGAGATAGCCGTTTTAACCTGTCGCATATGAAGACAGAGAGAAGATGCAAGCTTATTTTTTAACCATTGCCATTACAATAGAAGTCTTATCTCAGGATAGTAACCCTCTCCCTTTTAATCGACGTAGCATTACCCTTTATGAGCATCGTGCGTTACCGCGTACGCTAACCGGTCATCTGGGACCGTTGGCAACAGAATACTGCTATGTAAAAACTTACAGGGCAACCTATGGTACTTCTTATTCTTCAGGCGTTTTCTTCTGGCTAGGTTATCTGAATTCTGCGTTAAATCCCCTCATCTACGCGCTTGTATCAAAGGATTTCCGCCACGCATTTAAGAAGATCCTGTGCCGCTGTTGCCTCAAACGAGGCGGCATCAGCAGTCTCATTAAGCAGGTCCACCAGCTGACGGTCCTCGACGATGTGGTCAATACTGACGAAGACGTCCTTCCATCTGCTGCCCAACCATCGCCGTAGTAGTTGCGCTTCCTGTGGAAAACGAATAAAAGATACACACACCACACTAAAAGAAACAACTTCGAGCCGGTGTTAAGAAGTGTCAATGAACGGTTCTTTATGGACGGAAGACGACTCACCATCATCTAACTAATAGCCAACTTCAAATAGTTTAAGCCAATCGTTTATCTCAAGCGACAAAGCAAGCGAATGGCAAAACTTCATCTCTGCCAAATATGAGACAGGACGACCATCTTTACTGTTAACTTCTAGGTCAATTCATACCCCGCAGTGTTTAGTCCACCAAACTCATGTCCACCCATACGGTTCAATCAAGTAGCTTATACAATTAATCGACGCGCATATAAGAAGCTCTAACAAATCTTGCTAGATGCCAAGATACAGCTTTGCGTTTCTCAATCGCTTATGCATGAACCCCTATATAACCAAATTACTCGAGTAGTTTATAAATTATGCTGTCCATGTTGTCTGCTGACGCCTAGCATTCGCGCATGACAAATAATACTGCTTTCTCACAATGGCGCCAACCTGATGCTAGGGTTCAATTCTCCACATCGGCCCTCAGGTACTAGGCCTGGAGTACGGCCTACAGAAAAAAACCAATTGTAAGATGAACACTGAACATTCAACAGCGTTAACATTAAAAAGAGGGAGCGATAGCTTGAGACTAAATGGGTTTAATTTTTCCCACCATCCTACTAAGCTTCAACCAACAAGAACAATGTATAATTACATTTGCTCTTCCCCGATGCTGTTTCGCCAAAAATAAAACGTAGGGTTCAGCATCCTCGTCACAACACCATGATCAAAGCCATTTCTACCCAGGGGCATCCTTTGACTTGAACAACGTGTTTAAGTTAAACTTATTTACAACCAGTCACACAACCATGAATCATTGGACCGGATCAGCAGCCAGTACGGTTGTTCATAACTTAACACCTCAATTGTACCGCTATCGACGCGTATCGCAGGTGGAAACCTGAGCTGCTTTTGCCATCGTAACAAAACTGACCAAGCTGCTAATCAGGCTAGAGCTCGCACACCCTAAATTAAAGGTCTTCTTAAAATGCACGTGTGCTTTGTACATGCTCCATCGAGAAGTTAATGCTTACGCAAGGCTCTGCCTGTTCGTACTAGCCTGTAGTGCCTGGATCGTGACTTAGATCGAAACCGTGTATAAGTTTAAGTGGTGGTTCTCTTGTAGTATTCGTCTTAGTGAAATATAGGTTCTACTAGCGATAACTGTGATAGTAGCCAATGATAACATGCATCGTACTTTCCTTGACCCCGTACCCCATTAGCTGCTTTCGTGTTTCGTGTCCCCACGGCGGAGGTTAGAGTCTTCTCTCGACACATGGACAGTAAAATTATCAGCTGGGACAGGAAAAAAAACACATTCAAACTGATCAGTCAATAGGATTATTAACGCAACACAAACAGTAATAATAACACAACACAGCGTAGAGTATCAAGAACGGATAGGTGTGCGCACGTATGTGTACACCGAGTTTTGTTGACGTCAACAACGTAAAACGTAACTGGTGAATTATTGCGTGCAGCTTCATGCAGTGACGTACCGTGACCCGCTACGTTGAATCGGTCACAGCACTAACACCAAGTAACCGGTAATGATTTTAAAAAAAAAAAAGGAAAACATTGTTCGATCGATTCAATGGCTGGGTTTCGTACCGCGTGTACCGTTATTTCAGCATACGTTCTATTAGGATGTATGTAACAGCTAATCTGGTAGATGGCAGGCAAACCAGTGGGATATTTTTATAGCACAGAACTGGGTCAGATGATTACGACCGTCTATGAATGCTTGCATCTTCCAATCGTGCGTGTCGCTCCGTGCCGTTTGTTGGGCCGCTGACGTATCGCTTGTACGCTTATAGGAAAAGGTGCAGATGGTAGATCGGCGCTGACGAACCATCACACTATGATCACCTTACAAATCGATTTCAGTCCTCATCGTTCACTGTTTTGTATGGAATAGTGAGTAAATGAAATAACAGTAGAATGAACTCATTTCATAGGGTAGATCCAAATGAATATGGTACAGCCATACAGGCGGTAATACATGTTATATAGGTAGAGATAAACGAGATTATCGTAGTGTACGCATGCGCATTAATGTTCCATAGCGAAATGCAGGAACAACACGGAAAGAATAAGGAGGACAAAATGACTATAAAAGATAGGAATTACAAGGCGTAATCGCCAGCGCCGGTCTTGCTTGCTTTATTATCTTCACATGAGATAGCTGCTGAAGAAAACAAAGAAGTGCGCGGACAGCCGCGGCAAAAGGAGAGTCAACAATGTATCTCTCAGCAAAGAGACAGGAAAACGACAGAGACTATGGTTCAACATACATATAGCTACTACATGAAACAGTATCAACTATCGTGAGTAATAAATAATGCTAAAGTCGGCACTATGTGGAGATGGCACCAGGAACACAACCTGCACAGTTAATTAAGGCAGTGAAAAATTCCAGGATTTTTTTTGGTGCGGGTCTAATGGATAGGCTGCATATCTCGCTCCCATGCGCTGCTTGGGCAAAGCTTACAGCTTTTTGTACATTTGGCGTGCACGCATCCGTGCGTCTAACAACTTGAATTAGATTGGCTACGGCAGCTGAAACCGCATGGTGATTTCAAGAGCGAGTCAGAAACGACGGGTGGAGGATTGACTCTCTCTTCTGATCGGCCCGACCGCGTTTATTGCTTCATCAGCCATGCTAGGCCTCGGCCTATTACAGTAGGTCCCACATGCGAATGCAATCTATCGTACTGCGGAACTCTCTGGAGACACCGTTGACTTGCAGCTGTCTAAAAAGTCCATATGAAAATGCGTGCTACCATAGCTCGTTCGCGGCTAGTTAGGTACACAGCAGAAGGAGAAACGTGAAAGAAGATAGAGGAAAAGCTAGCCAAGTGTCGAATCAAACTCCAAAAAACTACAGTATCAATCGAATCTTGAATACGGCCGACCACTAGCCGCTCGCCGGAACCGAGCAAACACCTTAGTTGGCATCTTCTCAGCAAATGATTAACGGAAGAGCTAAAACATTTCAGATTATAGAAAGAATGAACATGCGTATGTCAAGCGTGCATGCGGAATAACGGCAGGCCGTCACCGTCGCACTCCGAGGACGACAATCACTTGGAGACGGAGGGAACGTTACGAAGGGCCGTATTCGCTTTCTCGTACAAGTAGGTAGTGTAAGGAATAATTTATGTTTTGGTCGCTAAATAACGCGCTGACGATCCGGCGCCACTACGCTAATTACCTATAATTAGCTTCAAAGAAGCAATGAAAGCATAGTAAATTCAGCCAGATCGTTAGACACTATTTGATGCCCATGCTAATGCTAATGAACGTTGAAAAGTTAAGATAACAAAAAGCTAGACTCTGTCTAATGAATTACAGAAATGAGCGTGATATACATGTAGGCAACTGACCGACATACCGATGTACGCATATCCGCGCTACAAGCCTGATGAGGTTACGAATACGCAAAACGGGCAAGGCTCCGCAAAAATTATAATGGAGATTGACTGACCCGCAGCGAAAACAAAAAAAAAACTACGGATATTAATGACTTTCTAACTAATTAACTAAAACACTAACTTTGAGAGCGGGATACCTGAACTGTTGCAAAGTCACGCCGCCCGAAGTGGCACAGGACCGTCTAGCGGCGTTGGTGTATATAGTAACGTAGCAAAAAAGATGAACTTCTTATCCAAGCTAGCGCACGTGCAATATACCCTAAGCCACAAACTCTACCCCCTAAACCTTACGATAGATTGCTACTGGATTCGTATTAACCCCATAGGGGGTAGGAGCCACCAAGCTTCCTATGCGCTGACGTTCGTTTGGGACGATAAGTGGCGCAACATAGCGTATGTTCCCATTCGAGAGAGTAATATAATAACGCATTAGAAAATTACGACCGACCCCATGTTTGCACGGCAATATTGTGTTATTCTTGTTTTTCTGATCTATCGATGTCAATTAACTATGTGGTAAATAAATATATATCGGCAGTCAGCAGGCTGTATTTGAAAGAAAAACTATAATCCAGTACGTATTTGTCAAATGATCGTGTTAGGCAGAATGGCAACAATGGCTGGAGTGAATTACAGACGACGCACCGTCGTCAGGCAACAGAGAAAAAGTCAGTCAATAGGTCAAAGCAGTCGAAGCCGCAATAATATAAATATAACTAGAGAAATAATAATGCCAAGAGACGAAAATCTATCACTATACGTAACTTGCTAGTTGGATCAATACGCTGAAACCCGATGACTACGTAAACGCAAGAAACAGGATCGCTACCTACCAACTGCGGTCCTGTACGCAGTCCCGGAGAACCAGATGCCTAACGCGGTAGAAGAGTGTTTCTGAGACGCTTCTCTCTTACTGAGCTAAACAAGAACCTAACACGTTGGAGTAGTATTATTGCAACTGATAGTACGAAGACCTTGTGAGAACTCTTCCGTGCTTAAAGATAACGGTAACTTGTTCGTGGTAGGAACGTCGACAGTATACAACATAAGCTTCGTTGCTGTTCTATAATGTGTATGATACATAATACGTTAGACCTACATGTTGGCGATACTATTGCCAATCACAAAAATACAATGAACGGAAATGAGATAGCCCGTCGTCAACAAAAACGCTTAGGCATATATCGCTTAACTCGCATGTCGTATATATACAAGTAGGGAATGGCGTATGCTACAATAAGAGCACACGGGTCATATAAGTTATTATATGTAAACAAGATATAGCTAACAACGGAATATTGTACCGTGGTAATTATATATATATATATATATATATATAATAAGTTCCATGTAACGTATAGTTTGAATAGGTCACTACTGGATGGTATACAAGATTATGTTCATTATTAATAATGAAGGCTGTATGAGTAAATACGTTTTATATAAGATATAAAGGCCTATATACCTAAATGGAAGTAACCTGCGACGTGGGAAACAAACGATACGATAGCGCTGATTGCAAGTGAACTGCTGTTAGAAAAATAGATAAAAAAAAATATGGTTGAACCAGTGAATCAGATATATACGTCCGGCAGGCAGACAGTAGGTAAGGCAGCCATAATAGGATCCGACGATGATGACAACGCAATTTATAAACATATGTCAAAGCACTAGTAGCCTAGGGGTATATATACAGGGTGTCCCAAAAGATATACACATAGTATGAATGAGTATAGTTCGGTCTTGCTTTACGTATAATTATCGCTCAAATTCTCTACAAAATCTGAATAAAACGTGGAGTTTTGCAAATATTCAAAACTATCACCGTTCCGGTTGATAGGCTGCTGATGACGGTGAACCATAGGCTCATGAACTATAAAAAACTTCCAAATTAACTATCCTTCCAAGGAAAGTCCGTTGACATCCGGTCTTAGGGATGGACAGAATATTCTATGGGATCTTATTGTCCGACCCATCTGTTTAGATAGTTCTGACCAAGGTATATTCTCATACTACGATGATATCATGTAGGTGCTGCGTCCTGTTGGAATAGATTTGCCACCTTTGACAAAATCCTCCCGAACGGATGGTAAAACATACTTTTGCGGCAAATTCAACTAATTAGCACCAGCTGATGCACTCTAAAAATTATGCTTTAGTGAAACTACAGTGTATACATTTTAGAGCCTCCTGTATAACAATAGTTAATTAATTAGATAAACAAAAATCGTATTTTTTTTGTCACGCAATGTATTGTACTAGAGTTTAATGAGCGTGGGTAACCCTGAATCTATGCTCTGACGACGTAACGTTTTAACATTATAGAACGGTTAAAAAGTTGCATGAAATCAATCATCGAAATAGCATAATTGTACCAAGGGCTAGGCTATAGACAAATAAAAAATCGTAAACGACCACGGGCCTGTTATAAGAGTAAAAATTAAAAGCTTACATAAATATGATTATAAGCGCCATACGCATACGTTAATACGTGCTGTATGGGAAAATTACGAACGATTAACATTGTAAAAATCGATGGGTACATCAATAAATAAATCTATTTCGATGGAAAAAGACAGGATAGGGTCTGCTGTCTCGCGATTTTCCGGCTACTTCGGCCCAACAGCAAAATATTGTAGCGTTCACAGAGCAGTAGGAATTTCGTTGCGGGAATTGCCCCGTTTGTTGAAAATGATTCCTCAATAAAAGGAAACAGAGCTAATTGCCTCTCTGGCGTCTATCAGCTATTCATTTCTCGTTTGGCCACTTTATTAAGCGCCAACAGGTTCGAAATCTATTTTGAAAAAATACGATAACTTTTGTGTTTTCTGAAAGGTGTCAGATCGCCTGTCAGTGACTGCCCTCTGCGACGCATTTATTAGTTCATTTGTTTTATAAATTTGTTATTGTTATATGTGTATTATATTATATTGCTATCTTGCCCGTGCTTGCTTTGGTCCAATTCCTAACCGGTCAGCAGCTCACAACCGCTTATCATGTCTTAGTCGCCCTCCTTTAGTCACGCATTGTTTCTCCGGGATGGATTTGGGATCTTCACTGCACAGAGTATTTCGTGCGAGGTAAATAGGGTCTTGGGGGTCGTCGTGATCGTTTACCTGGCTCTCATAGTTCCAGTAAAGTTAGATTCGGGCCATCTAGGCCCGGCCTAGTTACAACCAACATAAGCCGAAACGTAAAAAGATTATTTTTATGATAGTCATTATTATCTCTTGCATTCAATCTAGAGTGGGGTAACTGCGCAGGCCTGTTCGTATACGGCGGATTCTCTGCGAACGTAACCTGTAGATTTTCATTATGTTTGTTTTTCGAGTTCTCAAAACTTGTGTGCACGAGCGTGCATCCTACTGATTTTATTTAAGGCTGTGAGCTCGTTTATCTTAATTCAACAAACAAGAAAGGTGACCTATCGAAGACCTCCTTTACTAAAAATGACAATACTTCCGTAACCTGTATAGTATGACTGAGACTAATGCTGAAACATAAATCTATTTTAGAACAACAGGCGCATTATAACCGAATTAAAAGGTAAACGTAGAACTTGACACGGTTCTTGTACAAAGGGATGATTGATGTTATGATAACTAAGGATATAAACACTATAAAAATAGCAAGGCTTGGTATACATATATATATACATACGATCATACGCATCCAAGCTCCCCATGACGCGCAAAAACACACAGCCAGAAACACTTTTGTAAATAGCGGTAAAGCAATGGTAATTGTAACGAAAATAATAGTAATAATAAGCGGTAACTAATTCTTTTTCGTAGCTGTTACAGAAGCGATTGTAAAGATGGCACGGAAAAGGACGTTGCATTAACTTTGGCGGAAAAATACACGGAAAATGTAACACACTAAAAAGGCAATCTATCTATCTATCTAAAGGTATTCTATCTAGCAGAAAGTGCATTAGGGACACAGAACCTTTTCTGAAGAAAAAAAGGCGCTGCGAATTTTCAAGTGTATCATCCTCCAAGACATTTATTTACAAAGCAGAGACGAGCAAAGCAGTATGTGCGCAAACATGTAGCTACCGAAATATTTTACAGAGACAGGAACAATGATCAAAGATCCGGAGATTCAGGCCACTAGGTGGGACAGATAAAATGTGTGCTTTGCTTATTACGGAAAAGACGGAAAGATGTAAACAGGATACAACGAGTCATATAATGTGTGTTTCTAGGTGACGTACTGTACTAGGCGCTGTTGTGGGCGTGCAGCTTTCTTGATTAACTGAAACCCTTTGCACTTCGCTATCGCCAAGCAACAAAACGGAAAACATGAAAATGTGCCATCAGTAAATGTAA